TGGAGAGTCAACTGCTTTAGGCATTTTGAAGACTAGGTGCACTGAAAATTTGTTTAGTTGGACCAACTTGTATCCTGCTGTTAATGCAGAACAACTTCAGGATTTTACTAACTCATTAGCTCTGGCTTAGATAGTTTGTATAGTTAGCCAGAGATTTTTTTGTAAGCTCAAATGCCATATCTTGTAAATTTTGCATCTTCCCGATGCTGTTATTAATACCACTTATCTTATCAAAAAAAAGATATTGAGACAATAGAAACAAGTAGTGGTAGAAATCCAAAAAAAGGAAAACAATAATAATAATAATACTCCGGGAAAGAAAACGAAATAGCCCGACTACATACTACCTGCAACCCTAATTATCAACCTCGGTTTCATGTCCTCAGTGAGCTCAAGTTGTGTCATATTCTGCCTAATCACTCACCCAATACTTATTCCTCTATCCCTCCTCACGCCCGTTACAGACAACCTCTCGCACCTTTTAACAAGGACAACTACACCTCTCCTCTTCACATGCTCAAACCATCTCAACCTCACTTCCTACATCTTAATCTTCACGAGAGCCACTCAACCTTGTCCCTAATATTATCATTTCAACCTTTTTCTGTCCTGGTATGCCCACACGTCCACCTAAGCATCCTCATCTTCTTCACTCGCATCATCTGTTCATGAGAGTTCTTGACTAGCCAAGACTCTGCACCATATAACATAGTTGGTCTAACCACCACTATGTAGAACTAACTTCTAGTTTAGGTGGCACATTCTTATCACGATGCTAAGCTCCACTTCATCCATCCCACCTCAACACAATTAGTAGCATCCTCATCAATCTCCCCATTACCTTGATTACTGATCCCAAGTACTTGAATTTTTCTCTCTTAGGGATGATCGATGTGTCAAGCTTCATATCCACGTCCGCTTCATAAGACATGTCATCGAACTTTTTCGACTTGAAATCCTTTGACTCCAGAAATTGTCTCCAAACTTGTGGCCTCGTGTTAACACCACCTAGCATCTCGTCAATCAGGACTATATCATCAGCAAATAACATGCACCATGACACTTCTCCTTGAATGTGTCGCGTTAGTACGTCCATTGCCAATACAAATAAAAACAAGCTTAGAGTGGATCCCTAGAGACAGGTTAGGGAGCTGAGAAGCTCTTGTTTGTGCTTGTTGTCTACTTCACGAGCCTCCACTTCGCTGCCCCATTCTGTTCCTTCCTTTCATCCATGTGCAACCCCATCACAATTGGGAAATGTTCCAAGTTGTCACCTTCCCTGATTTTGACTCGGGTCTTAGCACCATCATATATGTCCTTAAACACCTAGTGTAGGTTACATGGACAACTCTAGCCTCCAAACATCTCCATAGAACATTCTGTGACACTTAATCATTTGCTTTTTCCAAGTCTATGAACACACTTCTTCCCAAACCAAACATAGGAGAAGATGTTAGTTTGATTCGTTCCGTCCAACATCTTCTTCAAAAGGGGTGTTCGAGAAAACTAAAAGACTAAACCAAGCCAACTCTATATATATACACACAAGTATTTATTTTTTATAGAGACAATTTGTATAGTTTTAGCCTCAAAAAGTTTTATAAACATATCCATGGTACTTGCTTAAGTTTTGTATTCTTCATCATTAAAGTTATTTAGGAGCAATTTATTTGTTGTTTTAATCATTAAGGTTAGCTAAGTTCAATAAGATATATTGATGTAAGGTTGTTTTTTGATTTATGAAAGTGAATAACTGTTTATCTCATAGTGAAATTTATCAATTATCAATATAAATCTTCCAAAGGATAATAAGTCAATCAATTTATTTGATTCTTGTTAAACATATACCTGCATATAAGAAATTGGTTCCTTCCCTCTGGTAGATTGAACAAAATAAATTTCGTATAAAAAAAGAGAGTCTAAAAACCAGCAAAACCAAAACAAAAAATAACTGACTATTAGGTATACATTAAAGTAAATCCACATAGTTGATTTGGTTTTGGTTTAGATAAAAACTATACCAAACCAAACCATGAACACCCTTATTCCTTACATTCATTTTCCTTCTTATCCATACATGATAAAACTGCGGAATTCCTTTCAACTAGGGTGACGAGACAAACTATCAAAATGCAAGCAATCCAATGACTAAATATCAACTAAGATGGTCATTAGTCATTGATTTCGATCATTAGTCTCATACATTAGGTATCATGACCTAAGCAGATCCTTTGCTCAGTCCTAGCCTTCTCCTTCCTTTAGGGTAAAGGAGCCTAACATACTATCACAAATCATGTGACTAAACATGCAATCCTCCACTTCCTACCGAGCCCATCACTCTCTTTCGACGTAAATAAAAGCTCCTAACAACCAGCTACATATAAGAACACAATATAAGAAAGCAACTATTACCATCACATCTCTATCGCAAACAGATAAAGGCCATTAGCTAAATCTGATTTTGATAAATAAGGACATTAACTGACTTGTTGACTTGAGAGAAAATGCCTAACAGTAATACTGGAACATCTCAGGCTATCAAGTGTATGCAACAGATTCTTACCTTTGGCTCAACATGGAAAGAGTTCAAAGGTCGTTTAGCATCATCTTCCGATGAACAGTCAGAACACAAGAAAGGGTCTAATTTCTTTGCTTCTTCAATGGTCATACCCATACAAATAGGATGGAACCTGCAGTAAAATTGCATAAAAAATATAAGACCATCATACAAAAATGAATACCTTTGAAGAAGTTCTTAAAAATATAGTTACCTAACAAACATAACACAGACAATTAGATTAAGCTTAATAGAGCTTAATGAACAACTCAGGCCTCCCTCATATCCATGATGTTGAACAACACAACAAGAATTCCACTCAACACAAGTAGAGGCAATTTCAGCCGAAAGAATTTTCACACCTCCACTCCACAGTAATGTGGACTTCTCTTCCCTCTTAAGTTCCTATGAGCTCAGCCAAATATGGAAATTTACACATCCTTTTTAATTATTCCCTTTGTTCACTTTTACTTGTCCAGATTGGACTTTGCAGACCCCTTTAGAAACTATGATTAACATGAGTATTTTACCACAATACCCATATTAATTGATGTTTAACCTTAGGTCTTGAAAACTGATTTTGGGAAAAAGTAATCAATGTAGAAGGTAAAACATGGAAGAGTGTTTTTCTCTTGATATACTAAATGTGACAAGTAAAAGTTTCAATATGTATTTTAGTCATAGTGGACAAGTAAAAGCCAATAGAGGGAGTATATATTTTCCAACTTAACAAGATTAATTGTTTTCTGAGAAGCTTATTTAGATTATCCTTTCTTGTCTCAAACTTTTTCCTATTTTGTTATTCAACCTCATACCCAACTCACTCAGATGATTGATCATATTCATCATTTCTCTCTCATGAATGCCCTTAAAGGAACTTAGTCATCTATAGATCCAGTCCAACTTGATAGACCAATCATTCTCAGACAATTGGCAATATATTTGTCTATTAGACCCATTCTCTCAGTATAAACAAAACTAGAGGCATCTTGCCTTCAAATTCAACCCATAAAGAGGTTCCAGTTCTTGTCAGAGTATTTATTAGAACTTCAGGCAGGAATTTGAAGAATTTAGCAAATTTACAACAATAGTTTCTTTATTTGTGTAACACAATTTAAATACATAAAAAAAATAGGCTGAAAACATAGATGCAGAGCAGATCTTCGCTAGTTGTTAGAGCAACATAATGTGGACAGTGGACAACAATGATGTGATAACTCCAAAAACATATCTCAGAAATGACAATTGTGCATCTGGAGATAACAGAAAGAGGAAGGGGGATATGGCACTCTCTTCGCTGCATTTTCATGTTTTGTGTCCTTGGATGTTGGTCATGTGGCCATTTAACTGTCTTTGCTACTGTTTATCATATGAAGTTAGAAAAACTTCTATACACATCCTTCTCTCTCAATTTACTTTTTAACCTAAATTTTCGAGCACAAAATGCAAGCTTGCTTGTTGGTTTCCATGCAAACAAGAATAAAGATATGCTAATATGTAAAGGAAAGTATTCAGTAACATGCATACCAGTCTTTACACCCTTCACATTGTACCATGAGATCGTCCGGGTTATAGGGCATTTCACACTTGCAATACCTTCAAAATCAAATCATTCAGCATGTTAGCGAATACTACAGGCGAAACTCTTAATGTTACACCAAGAAAATAAATTATCAAATTTCACAGTGGAGCTATGAAGAACTCACACAGCAACACGGTCAGGAGTGAACCCTCCTGTGGCAGCTTTGTAGTCGAACCTACAAAAGTAATCCTCAGGGCCCACATTCTCTAGCTTTGTGTAGTTCTTGAAGGAGTGCACTATGCACTTCCCTTCAATTGTGTGTGCACTCTGAAAATCATAGTGATCAGACAAGAACAGCTCTTTAGCCCCATGGAACTGTCTGCGTCCACCAACTGACTCCTCGGGGCGGTAGTACCACTGAACTCGGACCTTCACATTGTTGCGATGGTCTGCCTCAATTCTATCTACTTTTGCCACATATGGGGGCTTATCCGAATCGGATGGTCTCATCAATACACAATCACCAACTGAGAAAGGAACAATAACAGAAATCTTAATGTTTTGTCAAGACAACCAAATGTCCACAATATTGCCAGGGAAATAGAGCAAACTAAAAGCAAAATTGATTAAGTTATGAAGACAAAATAGAATCAACTATACAGGAATTCATTACATAAGGTACTCCTAAATTCAAATTTATACAACATTCTTTCTATTTTGAGACATTCCAAGATGTTTTACACTGATAAATTATTCTGTAGAGAATTCCACAACTTTTTTAGAATTCAATTTATTTTTTTCATGAAAAATGGCAAAATTAAGAGTTCAAATTCATTTATCTATTCAATTTTAATGATCTAATTAAGAGGGCACATGGGTCTGTCAAGAGCCGTGTGATCAGCAACGACTTAGATTAGCTAATCCCTTTGTTAACAATACAAACATAAAGAACATCAAGGTAGGGGTGTGAAGTATCAATCAGGAAAGAAAACTATTACACTCTTCTATGTTTCTCTCGAATCTCTCCGCATTATCTACTTTATCCTCCTTCTCTATCAATCTCTTCCCAATGGTTTCTTCTTCTGCTGCTGCTGAAGCTTAAATCCAAATCACTGCTGGAGTTCATTACAACTGCAGAGTGATTTGCCATGTCAATGTCGATGTCAATTTAGTTCAGTTTCCAAGTTGTCCACTTTGTGTTTCATTTCCTTATTGCTATGGGTCTAAAATGGAACAACATGATTAGCAAGGAGGATTTGTTTTTGTGGTTGTGAACTAACTCATTTCCTTAGAGAGCCATTAAACTGCACTTGAGTTGAATACCACTGTAATAATCCTTGTCTTGAATTGTTCGACTATAAGGGATCATTACAAAGTTTAATCCTTTGTTAACATCTTAAACTCCTTTTCCACTTGAACAAAGGGGTCAATCTACAAATACAATGAAAAAGAGATACCCTCACCATAAAATGAGTTTTCCACTTTGTGTTCCATTTCCTTTTTTCCATAGGTATAAAATGGAGCAACATGATTAGCGAGGATTCATATAGATTACTAGCTTGGGATTGAGGTAGAGTTGTTTTTGTTGTTGTGGACTATTCATTTCCTTAGAGAGCCATTAAACTGCACTCGAATCCTTGCCTTGAATCGTTCGAATATAAGGGATCAGTACAAAGTTTAACTCTTATGTTATATGTTTTTATCTATCAAACTGATACATAAGTTGTTAAACATCTTAAACTCTTTTTACAGTTAAACAAAGGGGGCAATCTACTAATACTTTGAAAAGGCGATACTTTCTAGAAAACCCCGAAAACAGAAACTTCTAGGGCACAAAAAAGATGAAACATTTGCCTCAAACGTACACACAACAAAGCATCAGAAAACATAAAGATAAAATCGAGGGGGTTTTATTACCTCGTACGACTTTGTTGGTACCCTTGATAGAGTAAGAATCAAGGTCCTTTTTCCCTGGTTTAGTCTTTGCCATCAAGAATCAAGAAACAAGAAAAGATTCAATTTTTTTGCTTTTTATTTGTTCTTTTCAAGAATTTCGACTGACCCAGCTGTGAAATCTTCACAGAGATGAAGATCGCAAGCAGAGAAATGGAAATGCTGAGGAGAAGCAGAAACCCTAGTTGCAGAAAATTGGGGCTACACAATGGAGGACAGACGGACAGAAAGAAGAAAGAGGTTTTGTTCTTCTATATGCCAAACCTTATTAATTAAGTTGCCAAAATAGTACTAATTTTTTATTTTTTTTATTTTTGGAAAAATAGTTTAGAACTTATATTATTGTTTTTAAAAACATTGTTACAAAAAAATAAAATATTATGTTCGAACTTGTTGGTAAAATAACAATCGAAATTAAGCACAACGATGAAACATTCATAATGTAATAATGTTGAAAATGGAGCAACTTAGTTGAGTGTTGTACAAATTGATGAACGTAGATTCAAAATGGTATTTATTTTGACAGATGTGGTTACACATGTTGCGTGTTTGATTTTAGTTAATTAGTTAAGTAATAAGGTTGACGCATTTACATAGGTATTTTGTACTTGCATATATTTTTAGGTTGTGAATCTCTTTTTTTCTCTCTCTCAGGATTGATCTCATCTTTAGATACAAAGTTAATCATGAAATGTCTACGAAGTTATGTATCTCCAATAATTGTTAGTGAATGAAAGCTCTTTCATTTTAATATCGTGTTAAGAGAGCAAACTTAGAATATTCTTTTCGAGATGAGTGCTATTATAAACCCATAAAGAAAAAGACTTTTCGAAGCATTCAATCCTATAAGGAAATCATTGTAGAATAAATGTTTAATAATTTAAAATTGAAACATATAAACCTTTAAGCATGCTAGTTGGTGTTTTTTCGCTAGCCTCAATCCTTCAATTTCTTGATTGGAACAAGGAATTTCATATTGATGTTGACAGATCATTTTATGTCATTAGACGTGTGGTGTGGAAAACAGATTGATCACTCTATCTATTATTAAAGTATGTGACTTTCCGATTAAAAATTATACAATCATTCAACTTTATTTATCATGATCTAATCTAAACCTCAAACCCAAAATCGAGCACCAAATTTGCTCATAATAACATACCAAAAAAAAGAACGTAAGAAAACATATTATCTAGATTTAATAATAAATTAATTGGTGAGGATAAAAAAATTATAGACTTCTATATTTACGCTCTTGTTTTCCCTGCTGGTTGTTGCCCTCTATGGTGCTTACACCTTCTACTAAAGATTGGTAGGGCACTTAGCAATTTTTTAAAAATGGGTAAAGTTACTAAACTAGTCATCTCCTATCTTTCTTTATTACTCACCTTTATTAGTAGTAGGCAACCTTTTTTTTGAGTTTCTTTCAATTTTTTACAAATTAACTCTAATAGATTTGTACGTTTTTAGTACATTGAATTTTACAACAATAAGTTACCTCATGTTCGTTATTATTAAAAAAGATGAAAAGATGTTAACCTATAATTATCAGTATTTATATTTTCTCAATTTTGATCCAATAAACTTTTTTTTACATTGAGTTAAATAACAAGGATGATTCTCTAAGATGCCGAGTATAAAAATAAGTTGATAGGAAAGAGCCGAAGATAAAGTTTTTCACATGAAACAACAAGTGACAAGGAAGTTTTGCTTCTAGAATGTATATTAAGTTAGTTTATATACTATATAGCTAATTATATTTTTATTATCCGCTTGATTTCAAGAAAAGAAAAAAAGGGAGGAATTGTATATAATTTCTAAAGCAAAAATAGAATCTCATTAATTAAAAGGAAATATAAGTCTTCGGGTCATTGTAATTCGATTTCCTATTAAAAAGATCTATGCTATTATGATTTTGTCAATTCAAAAGCCATATAGTTTTTGTTCACCTAAAATAATATTTTTAGTAAAAATTATAGATATTATGTCAACTACTATATACCAATCTAATACACTAGCTTGAAAGTTAATTATCTACACCACTTTCAGAAGATCTAAATAATTTATTAATTAAAAAAAATTATAAGACGAATTACTCTAAATCAACCACACTACTATAACTCTTAATCAATCTTATACTAGATGTTAAATAAAATAATTTGACTATCAATGATTGGATCTAAATAAATAGTTTATCAATAATTTCAATTTTGTTATAACATAAGTGAGTTAAAATGACATAAATGTTAAAAAGTATCCCCACAACAAATATATTCTTTTTACAAATTGTACATACCAATGATTGATAATTGGAAACAAGGATCATAGATATGACAATTATTAGAAGGAAGAACCATTATAATAGATTTTTTCATTTATCATCTGCAGAAAAATTATGAATAAAAGCTAGAAATATAGATCATATTTGAAGGGGTCCTATGACGCAACACAAAAAAGTAACAATATTCTACTATATTAGTAACATGAGTGAACAACATGGTATCAACATGTCAGTTTTTTTGGCAATAAATTCACATCTGAGGGTATATTGATGTTATCAATTAATTTAGTCTCATTCATATTCCACGTGGCTTTTAGCTTTGTGCATACTGTTGACAATCTCTAGCATTTTTAGTCTCACTGTAGCACCTTCTCTCATCATCATTATTTTGACTTTATTATATTATATTAACACTTCCTAATTGAACAAATATTGAATAAAATAGTACCAAAAGGTTTACAATTTGTTGTATACTTATTTCAGACGGATTTATATGACCTAATTGGATTGTGTCGCTGTGATTATTATTCTCGAGTGTGCTCAACTTTCTTCAAAGTTGAACAAGAATATGCATGAAACCCGATGTTTTAACAAGGTACGTGATAACATACCATACTTTAATTTTGCTACAGTACTCTACATTCATAACTTAAAACACTCCTCTTCTCAACTACATATATTTTGTCAATTACATCGTCGCAACAATATGACTGACACCACCATCTATTCAGTTTATGTACAAATATGTAAATAGCATTATATAAATGCATATACACAATGCAAGAACAAATGTAACGTGTGTATATATATAACTAGCTACCAATATTTCTGACAGTAATGCTTAATATGTATTGGGTCCGTACGCGCACAGGTAATCTCCGGTCTAGTAGAGAAATAAGGCCAGCAATAAAGAATGGGTGGAATTATTGAGTTAGCTAGTATATATTATGCCTAAACATGAGGCATACAAAAAGTTCTTCTTTTTTATAGGATTCAAACAATCCCACTCTGACCGAATTCATGATAAATCTAATATTTTCTTAGTAATATACTACTGTTTAATATCATCGACATATCAACATCAAAATTCATATCGATTCCTCATCAAGATCAGAAATTATTGTGTTTGCACTAGCGATATAGAAAAAATAAAGTACTAATATCTTTTGTTCCATTATGAATAAAAAGTTTTTCTTACTCCCTTCTTGTGTCTACTAGTGTTATTGTCCTAAGTGAATCAAAGGAAAAGAGTGTCACTCAACCAACAAAAACACGGTCCATTGCTACATAATATATCCAATAGAGCAAAACAAAATTTCATTATTTTTTATCATGTCCTTTCACATTGCTAGTAAATAAACTATCACATTTCATTTGCCATTTTTATTTACATAGGCTAAAGCTCATGAACATTACAATATGTTGGGTATAAAGTAAAAAAAAGGTGTATAATTGACACAGAATTTTATGAAACAAGATTTTGATTTAGCAAGTAGTTTAGTATCAATAAAGAAATTTTTGAACAAAAAAGTTGGAACTCATTTTATAAAAATATAGGATTCAACACCATAATAAAATACTATGATTAAATTATGTATATGAGAATTATAAAATAATGTTGCATTAGTACTCATTACTCAATATATTATAATGAGATAAGTTACAAGGATCATATCACAAATCATATCTTTTGTTATTTGCATTACAAGAAAAAAAGTCTAATCCCTTAAAAGATTGTTCATAAAATTCAACTACAATCAATATTCTTCAAACTGATATTATCCTTATGTATGAGTGTGTGTGTGTGTGTGCTCTTTATGCATGTTAATCAAAGAGAAGAATAATATGTTCTTGAATTCTCGAAACAAACTCAAACACTCTCTATGAGTAATCATCCATTTTGGAAAGAAATCAAAGACTAATATTCATTGAGATTACTCATAATTATTAATTAAAGATTCCTCAAAAAGTTAAGGATTAGAACTTTTGAACGAGACAGACAATGCTTTAGAAGGAAAGAACTAGCATCAATATATCAATTTTAATTCAAATATAGGTGATATCGTCCAAGATAATTGTTATGTAACAATAAAATAGTTACCTAATATAACATTTCAATAATGGTGCAGAAGTCGAATCCTACAAAGAAAATGACGAGAATGAGTGTTAGTGATGTGCAAAACTCCACTCAAAGACTAACTTCATATGGAAAATATTGTGTTTTGTATTAACAAGCAATTTCTAGCTATGTCAATTTATCAAACATTAAGAACACGATTAAAATGAAGGGTTGCTATCAATTAATGGAAACCTAGGGTTGTACCTTTGATCATGTGATGTGTTTAGGTATTGAATTTTCCCATCTTGCCTAATTTGAGTTAAGGAATTAGAAGTTTACAATTCTAATGAGCATATATCAATTAGTTCTTAAAAGAATGCTTTAAAAACTAGTAATTGTTAATGACCCAAGTAAGAATATAATTTCCCTTTTCTTAATTTGATTTTATTAATCAAGCCTAATTAATTCCTTAATTAGTTAATCTAATTCATGCTATTTTTTAATTACTCAATCCAATTTTCACATTCCCAAGTGAGAAACTAGATACTAGAGGACTTAATCTAGTGTCCACAATCACTAAAGTTAACAATAAAGCATGCAAACAAGTAGATTATCAAAATGCAAACACAAATTAGCAAGATAATCAAATACCTAATAATATTAACACCATAAAATTAAAGCCTATAACCCTCCAACTATAACTTTAGCTACCATATTTAAAATATACACCCTTCGTCCCATATTAGATGAACATTTTCTATTTTAT